CCGCCCCCTCTTCCTGCCCTCCCTCTGCCCCACCTGGGGCTCCCACGGGTCCCGGCTGAGCTCGCGCCCGGGGACCGGTGGAGTCCCGGAGAAAGCCCGCTTGGGGTCCCAGGAACCGGGTAAAGTGCCCCGGTCCCACCAGTTAGGTTCTGGTGGGTTAATTGTCAGGGTCGGGGTTGGGGATGCTCAGAGAGAAAGTGGGGTGGGGGTGAGAATAAAGCCTGGATGAAGGGCCTTGGACGCCAAATTCAGCAAACACTTGCTTTCTTCCTGGGGTGGCGTGATTGGATGCAGTTTAGGATGCTCTCTGCGTTTCCTGTGCACGGTTTGCCCATCCAAACAGATCGCGAAATATTTACAAGTGGATCGTGTATTAGACTTCCCTGGGCTCGGTGGTCGCCAGAAATTCGAGGATGGGTGTGGGGATGGATGTATGGTGCAGATACTCTAACTCCAGGCCTGATTGGGCATGGGGGATCGGAATGAAGCTAATTCAATCCCACCCGGAGTGAAATGAAAATGTCAGGGCCGGAGGCTGGCTAAAAGACATGGGACATAGTTTGAAATCCAATTTAACTTTTCTGAGCCTTGGTCTTCTCTGACAAATGGATGTCAGGAAGCAGTCAAAATCAAGAGAGGAAGGATTACCCTCTGGCTAGTGGGGAGGGTCGGGTAGGTACAAGGGTCTCTCCTGGGTAAGAGATTGAAATCTAAGTGGCAAGGGTCAAGTGAGCAGACATTTACTTACAGCAGGCAAGAAGTGGAGTCCAGAAAAATCACTTGAGAAAGGGCAACGAGACTTGTCTAAGCAGTACCCAGAAAACCCAAAGTTCTAGAAGGCAGGGTTTTAGCACCAATGACCTAACCTGGGGTCTATTTGCTCCCCATCTTCTTTCATGTCCCTCCTCAGGTTGACAAGGGAGTAGGGCAGTGGGCTAGGGGTCCCTGGTGTGGGCATGTAACAGGGCAAGAGACCAGGTCTGCCTTATGAATGTAACTTTTAACCTTTAGGTTACTGATGGAGAGCTACACTTTAGAGTGATAACTATTACATTTGGTGGAACCCCCACATGAGAGATATGGGAGATGATGCTAATAATCTAATCTCAGATCTGGGAGGTGGGATTATGGAGAGAAAACTAATCTTTGGTCTTTGTGCATGAAGAAATTAGCCAAATCTGCCTTAGTTGGTTTGGCTCAGTGGATAGAGCATTGGCCTGTGTTTGATTCCGGTCAAGGCCACATGCCCAGGTTGTGGGCTTGATCCCTAGTAAGGGGCATGCGGGAGGCAGCCAATCATTGATTCTCTCTCATCACTGATGTTTCTATGTCTCTCTCCCTCTCCCTTATATATAGAGAGAGAGAGAGAGAGAGAGAGAGAGAGAGATCTCCAAATCTACATTTATAAAACCTTGTCTAGTATAATTTGTGGCAGGATCTGATACCCTCTTTTGACAGTGGAGAGAATTAGAAAGTATTTCCCCATATGTACTATTGTTGGTTATACAAAAGAAGTATCCGGATTCTGCCTTCCTGGAATATATTGTCTAGCTGCAACGGAAAGATGGTAAAAAGGAAAGAAACAGCCTCTGTTTCTACAGCAGCACCACCCAAACCCTTGTGGTTGGAGCAGAGAAAGCACTGCCTGGGAGTTTCCAGGTCTGGGGTAATGGGCCAAATGGCCAGTTCTGCTCAAGCCTTCCCACCTAACATTGCTCTCCCCTTGGGGTGCTCTGATTCCACTGTTAGCCTGGTCCAAACATCTGATGAAAACCCCTCCCATAGTCCCCTTAGCACAGTGGTTCTCAACCTTCTGGCCCTTTAAATACAGTTCCTCATGTTGTGACCCAACCATAAAATTATTTCCGTTGCTACTTCATAACTGTAATGTTGCTACTGTTATGAATCGTAATGTAAATATCTGATATGCAGGATGGTCTTAGGCGACCCCTGTGAACGGGTCGTTTGACCGCCAAAGGGGTCGCGACCCACAGGTTGAGAACCACTGCCTTAGCACAACTATATGAGGCTGGATTTATCCAAATGATTTAAATTAAGGTCAACACAAGGGACTCAGGTCTGAGG